ATGATTTCATGTAAAACGTTAATTCCAATTTCCAAATAATGTGCCTTTTTCCCTAATCCATTTTAATCCATTTCATGTTTCCAAAACATTAAACTTAGAGCCTCTTAAGACTCTATTTTCCTTCTGGCATCAGAAACAGGGGTGTTGGGCAATTTTTTACTCACATCTTTGATCAGTACTCAAGCTTTTAAAATCACTTTAATATTTTCTTACTGAATAAATCTAAACATCTGAACAAAAGCAAGTATAATTCAGAAACCCTGAAATTTAGCAAGGAGAATAAAGACAAATCAAAACCAGTCTTCATTTGCACTTTTTTCCATAAGGTTTTTTCTGTTTAAATCTCAGGCAAAGATGGACATAATTTTTTATTTTTTATTTTAGAGATGGGGTCTCACGATGTTGGCTAGGTTGGTCTTGAACTCCTGGTCTCAACCGATCCTCCCACCTTGGCCTCCCAGAGTGCTAGGATTACAGGCACGAGCCACTGGGCCTGGCCAGATGGACATAATAGCTTTTTTTTTTTTTTTTAATGGAGACTCGAACAGTGAGGTTCTCTTTTAGATTCGGCTATTTAAACAAACCAACAAAATCATTTGGAAGTAAAAATAAAATTTTAAAAATAATCTTCAACTGGAGCTCAAAAGCTAAAACCACAGCTTGCTGAATGACATGGTATTTTCAGTTGTGTAATTTGGACAAATTATTTAATCTTTCTGAACCTAGGTTTCCTCAACCGTATAAAGAAACCCACTTGCATGGTGGCTCACTTTGTGGCTGGCAATCCCAGTACTTTGGGAGGCCGAGGCATGAGGATCACTTGAGGTCAGGAGTTTGAGACCAGTCTGACCAACATGGTGAAACCCTGTCTCTACTAAAAATACAATAATTAGCCAGGTGTGGTGGCACATGCCTGTAATCCCAGCTACTTGGGAGGCTGAGGCAGGAGAATCACTTGAACCCGTGAGGCAGAGGTTGCAGTGAGCTGAGATTGCATTCCAGCCTGGGCAACACAGCAAGACTCCATCTCAACAAACAAAACACTTTACAGGGTTGCTGCAAGATTTAGTGAGGTAATTTGGCCAGGCTGGTACCTAGTAAGCTCTCAATTTACAGCTGCATGACATCAACTGCAGAAAGAATCCTCATGCTAACTAGCCAATGGGAACTTTTAAAGACCCGTCCAATGCTAACGTTTCAAAGTGCTGGCTAAAACTCCTAATGCTAGACTATGTAGAATATTTCTGCTAAATATTTAGCTAAATATTTTAGCTAGACTAGTTAAAATGTTCCTGTGAATTTAGCAGAAAAACAGAGGTTTATATGAATATTGCCTTGTATTCAGTCATATCTTTTTATGAATAATCCTTTGGATAAATCTCAGTGATAATTTACTCATAAATTCATAAATTCTTAACTTTTAAAAGAGCAAAGTTTTGGGGAGACCCAGGGAGCCTGGGTGCCATAGCGATTTGTCCACAGGAAAGCCATGAAGCCGGCTTCTCTGGGTTTCCTCTGCCCCTGAGGTAGATGCTGGCTCCTATTCTCAACTTCATGGCACTTAATCATGCTTTTCAATGACTTATTTTCTTTGCTGGTGTTAGGTCTGTTTCCCCCTTAGGTTGTGAGGTCCAAGGGCAGAAATCATGTGGGTCTTGTTTCCTGTATGCCCAGAGCTCAGGACAGGGCCTAGTACATAACAACTCCCAAGAAATATTTGTTGGGTATTCTAAAACAACATATGGGCAGTATTCCACACACCTAAGATACTGTTAAAACCAGGCCTGTAATTCCCATTTCACTGGTAGAAAAAAGGCAATACAGAAATGGCAACACAGATTTAACCACTCCACAGTTTAACTGTGTTCATTAAAATCCTTTCCATCTCCAGAAACGCTGAAACAAGTAAAAAAAATCTCTATCGTTTCTCAAGAAAGATGGGAAATTTCTGAACTCGGACTTGACAATCAGGTACACAAGGAGCAAACTGAATAAAAAAGTAAAAGGTTTAAAAAACAAAAAACAAAAGCCCAGCAGCAAATCTTTTATTTCTAGCTTCCGATAAACTCACTTCCTGTTATTCTGTCCAGCTTCTAACCTATGAGTAGAATAAAAGGTAGAGTCTCTACACTGATTTCGAATATTCGAAATGAAGAAACTTTAAAATCCACAAATAAAATTTTTTTAAAGTTAAGAGCAAAGTATACTTAGATCACTAGTTTAGAAAGTAAGTAACTTGGATTTTTAATAAATTTGAATTTATTTGCCAATTGAATATATTAATTTTGTATTCCTAAATGTATTTTCAGAAATTGTTTAAAATAGAGCATGGAACTTAATACATCCTCAAATATTAAATGCTAGTGATTATTACATTTATTCCATGTTGGACAATTTTGACTTCTAAAGACAACATTCTTGGTTGGGTGGAAAGATGCCTCACGTATGGGTGAAGTTTACGGTGGTTTTGCATATGGCATTTCAAGTGTGTCCTAAACGCCATGTGGTGTCGGGGGCAGACCACTCAATGTGGAGTGGGAGATCCGGGTGCTAATTCCTGCTCTGTCTCTTAAAACGTCTCCTGAACACGGGCAAGCCTGAATCCCTTTGATCTTGTTTTTTTTCACCCTGTCACGAGGGGGACAGCATTGTAGTCCCCTAGCTTACAGAGCTCTTGTGGGAATTACATGAAAAAACAAACAAAAAAAACCCCAAAATTATATTCATTTTTATAAAATCACAGCACGTTCCCTCTTATCAGTGCAGCTCTCCAAATAAACAGATGTACGGTATAAACTACCTACTTTAGTTAAAGAAAAAGAATAATAACCCAAGGACAAAGAAAGGTGAATCACAATTAAGCATAAAACTAAGAAAATCCTTTTCCTCAATTTTATGTAAAAGTAAATCCTTTTCCCTATTCCTTTCAAGGCTCTGATGTTTTTTAAAACTCTGACAGTTCATTTTCACTTCCTTTCATTCACAGATTTCATTAGAGGTCACAGTCCAGTGACCTTCAGGGTCACAGCCTGGCCAGGGTACACCCTCCCCACACGGACTGCCTTATCTCTGTAAGCAGAGAAGCAGGAAGCGGAGCCAGGCTTTCCTGTTCCAGCTCGTTTTCATTCTGAAGCCTGTCTTGGCCCTTCCAGTGTGCTGCCGCTACCCTCTGCTCAACTCATTCTGAGACTATAGTTACAGAACCTGAGCTTGACAGCTCTTCAATCGGTTCTAAACAGAAGGGACAGAGTCTTTCATGTGGGACCAGTTACTCTTCCCAGGCATGAAACCCACAAGATTCAAATAAGGCTCCCTTGAGGCAGCACTCAGCAACTACATTTTTCATTATGGATAGAAGAATGTTTAAGGAAAACTAGGTGAATACATAAAGTTCACAAATAACTCTATATTATTTCTATTTAAGTATCATTTATATCAACTTAATTATGACTAAAAGGGAAAAGTTTGACACTAAGAATGACAGAGTGACTGCTTAGCTCACAAATTGGAATTGTTCTGACTTGAAAAGTTATAAGATTAGTCTTTGGTTTTAGGTGGTTTGCCTTGAATGGCTTGGTTTACACCAGTTTTGTTTTGTTTTGTTTTGTTTTTTGAGACAGAATTTCGCTCTTCTTGGCCAGGCTGGAGTGCAACGGCACGATCTCGGCTCACTACCACCTCTGCCTCGCGAGTTCAAGTGATTCTCCTGCCTCAGCCTCCCGAATAGCTGGAATTACAGGCATGCACTATGATGCTGGCTAATTTTTTGTATTTTTAGTAGAGACGGGATTTCTCTATGTTGGTCAGGCTGATCTCGAACTCCTGACCTCAGGTGATCCGCCCACCTCGGCCTCCAAAAGTGCTGGGATTACAGGTGTGAGCCACCACACCCGGCCAGCAGTGATTGTTAATTATTGCTTAGTAATTAAACTTTTGGCTCCAATATTGTAGAACTTGAGAAAGTCTTCTACTACAAAATGCAGAATCGCATCATATTTGCATTTTTTTTTTTAAAGAATTTCATTCCTGTTGCCCAGGCTGGAGTGTAATGGCATGATCTCAGCTCACTGCAACCTCCGCCTCCCAGGTTCAAGCGATTCTCCTGACTCAGCCTCCCGAGTAGCTAGGATTACAGGCATGCACCACCATGCCTGGCTAATTTTGTGTTTTTTGTTTTTTTCAGTAGAGACAGGGTTTCTCCACATTGGTCAGGCTGGTCTTGAACTCCCGACCTCAGGTGATCCTCCCACTTCAGCCTACCAAAGTGCTGGGATTATTGGCGTGAGCCACTGTGCCAGGCCTTTTTTTTTTTCCCCCCCGCTTTGTCGCCCAGGCTGGAGTGCCGTGGCGTGATCTTGGCTTGTTGCAACCTCTTCCTCCCTGGTTCAAGTGATTCTCATGCCTCAGATCCTCAAATAGCTGGGATTACAGGTACACACCACCATGTCCAGCTAATTTTTGTATTTTTAGTAGAGATGGGGTTTCGCTATGTTGGCCAGGCTGGTCTCAAACTCCTGGCCTCATGTGATCTGCCCACCTCTCTTCCAAAGTGCTGGGATTACAGGTATGAGCTACTGTGCCTGGCCATGCTTGCATTTTTTAATAGATTAAACTCCCTTAAGTATGTATTAGATCCTTGGTAAGATGTATGACTCCCATTGTGAATGTTAAAGCTTCTGAAAGTGGCCCCAAAATGTATATAATCATGTTAAAACTGAACATCACATTCTGAGCAGATCTGCACTCATAAATGTCACCTTGCACAGAACTAGAAAAACTATAAAGACTCCTTTAAATTCTAAAACTCTGAAGGATACTAAATCATAAAGGAAGTTACCTAGTCTGACATTAGTTTGGGGTCTAATTTCTGTTTCTTCAAGTCAGCAGGATCTGGTTAAATTGTTTTATCCCTCTTCCCCAATAGACACGGGTTGCTGTATTACAACACTCTCACTGAGTGTGAGATTTCAGTCCCTATTCTGCAGAGCCTGCTTACAAACCTGTTATCATTTGTTGTGCATCATATGGTTCCATGTAACCGTCGTTCTCTCCAACTCTCTCTGCATCCCTTTGACCCTTCGTCCGTTTGGCGTCATAAGGGTCAGCATAGTCTTCTAAAATGATGACCTGTAAAAGAACAAGAGAGGACAGTTGCTAAGGGCCACCATAAACCAAAATGGCAATGGTATCAAAATGGCTACTGACATCTCCTGCATCTCCAAAGAGGTCAAAATCTCTACAACCAGTTCCAGATAGCTTTTGCACTTGATTATGTGTCCCAGTTAGACAAACACCTGATTTTTTTTGGTTGTATAGTTCATTTGCAACAATTCATCTAAACTCTTTCACTTATCCCCAAGGCTCTTTATACCTTCCTTTATTTCCCCAAGCAATAAAACATTTTCTGGGTTAGAGGGTGGCAGGGGTGGATGTGGGGAGTGAAGGGTACCTGTGGCTTTACAGCAAAAAGGGTATGTGGCTTTACCATATACCCTATGAATTGAGTTTTTCAAACTTCAATCCGCTGAGCAGTACAGTCCTAATGAGTCAGTCAGTCATCCACCAGCACTGGCTAGGCACTGTGAGGGAGTCAAAATAAACCTAAGACATGCTTCCTGTCCTCAAGGAGTGGATCACAGCTCCAAAGAGACAGGCTTCATAAATGAGAAATAGATCAGTACTAAACAGTATTGTACGCGTTCTTCGTTCAATAATTCACAGGCAAATTGACTGTCACAGGCTACAGACCAGATAGGGTTTTGATCCCTATCTGGGATCTCCTATTTTGTTTCAGAAAGCATCTGTCTTTCCAAAAATAGAAGGTGCCTGAGGAGGTGATGTGTGACAACATGGGTGACAACACTAGAGGTTAGGGGACCCTTCTCAGGGAGGAAGCTCCAGGCCTTGCTCCACAACCCCCGTTACATTCTCCAAAGAGTTTAGAAATAACACTGGAGTTGGTGAGAATTCAGATACATGAGGAGAAGCGAAGAGGAGGAAACAGCCTGGAAATAGCCTCAGAAACCTCAGACATCCAGAAGTGACAACCATAAAAATAACCAGACAACCACTGCAAGGGACTGTGACTGCGACTGCCATTCACTTAAGCAACATTTATCTTGACTACCCACCATGTGTACTGCAGTTGCAAGATACAGTGAGGAACCTAAGATGATACTCAGCCCTTGGCTTCAAGGTGATTATGATTTAGTCACACAGTCAGGTGGACCACTGAATAACATATGAGCTGGGTCCCTGTCCCATCTTTACACAGCTCTCCACTCAGTGCCTGGCTCAGGGTGGGCATGCTGTATTTACAGCATGAAAAAATGGAGGAGTAAGTAGAAGTGCTCAATGCAGACATACATAGCATGTGTTATGGGCTCTTGACTTCATACAGGGAGGTAACAGGTTTGAAGCCAGGGCAAGAGAATATTAAAGCTCCCATGTTAGGAAATGATCGCCTGGACCGGAGTCTGAAATCTCGGTTTGAGCTCTTTTCTCTTCCCGTTTCACATCGGAGAGAAGATAAAAACAACCAAATCAGACCAACTCAACTCAGCAAGAATGGATGGAGTCCCGTCCTATGTTCACACTCCTTTTCTTAACTTTTCCACACTGGACAGCACCCAGAAAACCTCCAGTGTGTCGGTCGCAGGACACACCCTCTCTTCTCATCTGTAATCTCCTTGAGAGCATTTTCTTGTCATATTCTGTATTCCCCAAAGTCTCTGATGCCCTGTGCCCCTTTTCTCATATGGTTGCTGCACCACAAATACCCATGGAATGAATGAAAGGGCAGCAGTCTTGGAGACTTGCTGAAGCTCCGAGGAGCCCTTTACTCGGTGGAACTGCAGAAAATGATGGAACTTCCAAATCAGTGGAGAAGGCGGTTGGTCAACCCATTTCCTGAAGCTTTGAAATGCATACTTCACAGTTGAGAGGTTACCATTCCTTATGTTCAAGAAGCATAAAAGTCATACACAAGTCTAGCTTTGCAATTCCCCTGAATATCAAAATTAAAATAAACTACACCGATAAAGGGGTCAAATGTAACCAAACAGGAATATCTCATTCAACGACTCTTCTAAACTGCTAACAAAATTCAATGGCTAGTACATTTCTGCAAAGCTCTCCACCCCTAGAATAAGAATTTTTCAAGAATTAAAAAACAGTCTAAGAATTTTAAATGGTCGTTTAGAAGTTCCCGAATTGTGGAGAGAGAAAGGACCTTAGGAAACCTATCCTCACCGCCTCTTAGGTCTAAAGAAGCTTAGGGCTTAGCAGGTGCCCCGGGCTCCCCTTCAACTGAGAAGTGGGAGGCTGTATTCTTACCGTGTCTTGCTGCTTAATAATCTTGCTCTTGTCCAGCTCTGGCCCCAGGGAGGAAGGGGAAGAGGACGCGGAGGAAGAGGAGCTGGAGCTGGAGCTACTGCTACTGGGATAGTTGCTCTTCCCGTTCTTCTCCTGAGTGTCCACCTTGATGAGCCTGTTGATGTAGGTGCTGCAGCCAGAGCTCTTGGTCGCACCCCGGTGGGGCTCCTCCTCTGTGGCCCGGGAGTTTTTGCGGCCCTTGCCCGCGGCGGCCTGAATCAGACCCTGCAGGCTGTCGCGGGACAGCCGGCTGTCCTTGGGGCCGACGCCGGCCCTGCCGCTCCCCAGCTCGGCCGCCGAGTTCTTGCGGCCCTTGCCAGGACCCGGCCCAGCGCCGCCCGCCTCCGAGTTCTTGCGCAGTTTGCCGCCGCCGCCCCCGGGCTTGGCCCGCTCCGACACGGTCTTCAGGTTCAGGGGGAACTCCTTGAACCACTTGGCCGCCATGAGGGGGCCCGGGCCGGCTCGGCCTAGGAGCGTCGCGGCCGTGGAGGAGGCGAGCGAGGAGGCCCAGCCCAGACACGCAGAGGCGCCAGGGGTCGGGGGCCACTGCATTCCCCGTGACTCGGGCGCTGGAGGCCGCGGCGAGGCCCCGCGACGGCTGCTCCGCGCGCACCCGTCCGGCCGTCGCCCACGCCCGGCAGGGTGGGGTCCTCACGGCCCGGGGCGCCGAGCGGGCGGACGCTAGCCTCTGCTCCGGACACGGCAGGCGACAGGCACGACGCACGGGGGCCCCGCCCGGGCTCGTCTTCAACGCCTGCCCGTCCCGAGGACGCCGTAGCTCTCGGAGACAGCGGGCGCCGGGGTCTTCCCCCTGCTCTTTGCTCCCGCTGTGGGAGAGCCAGGCCCACGGAAGCCCCCTGCGGCCCAGCCCACGCTCCCAGGGACCAGAGGGGACCGAGCGGAGGCGGCGGGAGTGTCCTCGGCGCCGCGACAGACGGTGGACGGACGGCGGACGGCCCATCAACTTCGCGCGCCCCTCCCCTCCGCGGCTGGCGCCTCCCAGCCCCGCCACCTCCTGCCCAGAGCCAGGGGCGGCGGGGTGAGCGCCACGGGAGAGGCGGGTCCGAGGCTACGAGGTCGGGAGAAAGGGGCGGCGGCCGCACGTGCGAACCGGCCGCGCCCCACTGTGCGGAGAGCTCCCTGCTGTCGCCGACAGCCCGCGTCTGCACGGAGCCGGTCTCGGCCGGGCGCTGCCTTCACACGCGCCCAGGAGTGTGTCACGTGCGCCGCTCACCCCCAGGAAGGAAGCCCCTTGGCCGCACTGCGCTAGGCGCCCCTCGCCCACCTACTCCGCTGCACTCTTTCTGCAAACGTTATTTTTGGCGGTAGGGCAGAGGTTGCGGGCTGAGGGGCGGGCGCAGGGACAACGGTCGCCAGCTCCTGCGCTAGTTCCGTTACTCTCCCGCGGCACAAGGTCCTGGGCGCCGCGAGGCTCTTATCCCCGTGGCCGCTGGGGATTGGCTGCCGGCAAGCCCCGCCCCGTGCCCCCGGGCTCTGAGGGGGCGGAGCGCGGAGGGAGAAGGCGCGAAGGCTGGGCGTCGCGACCGCAGGTGGACGCGCGTGGCCCGCGAGACGAGGTATGACTTGTTCCCAGGTCCCGGGCTGCCGGGCGAGGGTTGGGAGGGAGGGGCGTCGGCAGGCAGCTATGGAAAACGCCCTCGTCCCGATGGACGGGGGAAAGGGGTCGCTGTTCCCGCGGGGACGTCGCTCGCTCGCGCCGGGTGGGAGCGGCCCTCCTAGTCCTTATTTGTGCAGGCGGGGAGCGCCATGTGCAGAACTGTGGCCTCTTTATGGGAAAAGACACCTGTGCCATTCCTCCGTCCCTTTGAAGCCCTTTAAAAACTTTCTGAGGCCGGGCGCGGTGGCTCACGACTGTAATCCCAGCACTTGGGAGGCCGAGGCCGGCAGATCACCTGAGGTCAAGAGTTCGAGCCCAGCCTGGCCAATATGGTGAAACCCGGTCTCTACTAAAAATACAAAAATTAGCTGGGCGTGGTGGTACGCGCCTATAGTTTCAGCTACTCAGGAGGCTGAGGCAGGAGAATCGCTTGAACCCGGGAGGCAGAGGTTGCAGTGAGCTAAGATCGTGTCATTGCACTCCAGCCTGGGCGACAGAGCGAGACTCTGTCTCAAAAAGCCAAAAAAAAACTTTATGGTTTAGAAAACGAAATTTAAGCTTAGTTTGCTGAACAGAAATCTTTTAGTTTAGCAAACTAAATGTGCTGCAGGAGCTGAGCAACACTGAGTCCTTATATACAAGTCATGGAAACAGAATGATCCCGGCTGTGGACGGCCTCATTTGTGTGGGTGGTGGTTTGTGAGGTTGGAAAGCTGAAGAAATGCGTGCTCATACTGACCGTTCTTGAAAATGCGTATTGACATTTTTTAAAGCTTTATTGAGATATAATTCACATACCATAAAATTCACCTGTTCTAAGTGTGCACCTCAAGTGTTTTCAGTATATTTGGTGTGTTTATAGTACAACCATCACAACAATCTAATTTTAGAACATCTCCATCCCCCCCAAAAGAGATCTCCTGTCAGTTAGCAGTCACTCCTCATTTCCCTCTCTGCCTCCCCAATCCTGGACAGCCACTAATCTACTTTCTGTCTTTACTGATTTGTCTATTCAGAGAGGTGGAATCATGGAATATGTGGCCTTCTTTCCCTTAGCATCATTTTTGAGATTCATCCAGGTTGTATAGCATGTATTACTACTTCATTGCTTTTACATCGCCAAATAATATTCTATTGTATTGCTATACCGCACTTCATTCATTCATCAGTTGATGGATATTTGGATTGTTTTCACTTTTTGGCTATTATAAGCAACACTACTATGAATATTTGTGGAAAAGTCTTTGTGTGGACACATATTTGAATTTCTCTTGAATAGTTACCCAGGAGTGGACTTGCTGGGTCATATGGTAATTCCCTGTCTAACTTTTTGAGAGCCTACTAAACTTTTCCAAAGTGGCTGCACCATTTTACATTCCTACCAGCATTAAGTTAAGGACATGTTTCTTCATGTCCTTAACACTTGTTAGAAATACAGGATGTTATCTGTATCTCTTGCTTTTAGCCACCCTGATTGATATGAAGTGTTATCATTGTGGTTTTGATTTGCACTTTCCTAATGGCCAAAGATGCAGAGCATCTTTTCATGTGCTTATTGGCCATTTGTATATTTTTGGAGAAATATCGAGCAGATCCTTTGCTCACTTTTTAATCGGTTTATTTGTTGTCTTTGTTGGTGAGTCGTAAGAGCACCTTATATATTCTTTAGGTCTTTTTAAAAACACAAATAAAGCCTGGCCAACATGGTGAAACCTCGTCTCTACTAAAAACACAAAAATTAGCCGACGTGGTAGTGCGTGCCTGTAGTCCCACCAATCTGGGAGGCTGAGGTGGGAGATTCGCTTGAACGTGGGAGGCAGAGGTTGCAGTGAGCCAAGATCGCACCATTGCACTCCAGCCTGGGCGACACAAAAACAAAAAAACAAAAAGCAACAACAAAAAAAACGCAAATAGGATACTTCTCCAGACCAAACAATAGATTGGAAAGAAACTCAGCACTTTGGAATCATACGGTCATATGGTTTGGATTCACAACAAAAACAGGCTTCTCCCATTTGTGAGCATGGGTACTAAGTGATCTTAGCCAGATACTAGGTCATCACCTCTGCACCTCCGGGACTTCATCTGTAACGTGGGTTAACAATGTCTCCCTCTTAGAGTTTGAGTGAGGATTAAATGAGAATGTGTATTAGCTGCTTAGCATAGTACCCGGCAGGCCCTTAAAGGCATCTTGGACAGATTTATGCTGGGCCTTGGCTTGGGAGGTCTCAGTGCCTGTTCTGTTCTAGAAGCCCATAGGCTTTTCCAGGGATTACCAGGAACTGGGACTAACATCCTTTATCTCTGATTTTGCCTACAAACCTCTCTCCATTTTTATCCATCCATACCTAAGTCTTTTAATTATCCGAACTACTTTTAGTTCTTTTTTTTTTTTTTTTTTTTTTGACACGGAGTCTTGCTCTGTGCCCCAGGCTGGAGTGCAGTGGCGCGATCTCGGCTCACTGCAAGCTCCGCTCCCCCGGGTTCACGCCATTCTCCTGCCTCAGCCTCCCGAGTAGCTGGGACTACAGGCGCCCGCCACCTCGCCCGGCTAATTTTCTTGTATTTTTAGTAGAGACGGGGTTTCACCGTGTTAGCCAGGATGGTCTCGATCTCCTGACCTCATGATCCGCCCGTCTTGGCCTCCCAAAGTGCTGGGATTACAGGCTTGAGCCACCACGCCCGGCCCGAACTACTTTTAGTTCTATTTAGAATTGGTTGCAGCTAAAATGGTTGTTCTCTCCTACAGCTGGGAATAATTTAGAGAAAAGAGTTACTGTTTTATTTTAAAATTTAATGTTTTAATTTATGTTTTCTGTAAAGTACAGGAAAAAAAATCCCTTTAAAATGACTTTAACAGCCTTGTTATCTGTAGAAAGAGAACCAAGGCTTTGGAATCACAGGACTGAGTTACCTCAGTATCTTTTATAATTTTATAAAATCACCTGATATCCTTGAGCTTTGGTTTTCTCATTTGTAAAATGGGAAGATAATACTCACGGAATTGTAGGAAAGTGCCCGTGAAAACCATAAAAATAAACACAATAACTACCATTGAGTTCTTGACACCTGGCAAGTGCTTTAAGTGCAGTGTCTCAGTTCACTGCCATGATCTATGACATGGGTGTTTTGATTCTGATTTGACAGTTGAAATTTGCCCAAGGTCGCTGGACTGGACTCACAGGTGCATCTAACTCCAAAAGTTCTGTTATTTCCACAGGCCAGCCACTGTGAGGAGCTGTGTGTGGTTTTAAAGTTGCTCATGCTATCTGTATTAGTTTTCTATTTGCTTTCATAACAAAATACTACAACCTTAGTGGCTTAAACAACACAAATATTATCCCACAGTTCTGTAAGTCACAAGTCTGTCACACGTCTCAGTGGGCTAAAATCAAGGTTTCGACAGGGCTGTGTTCCTTCTGGAGGCTTTAGTTGGAGAATCCATTTCCCTGCCTTTTCCAGCTTCTAGAGGCTGCCAGCATTCCTTGGCCTGCAGCCCCTTCCTCCATCTTCAAAGCCAACAACAGTAGTCCAGTCCTTCTCATATCACATCACTTTGAAACTTTGTTTCAGTTGTCACCTCTCTCTCTCTCTTTTTTTTTTTTTTGAGATGTTGTCTCACTCTGTCGCCCAGGCTGGAGTGCAGTGGCCCAATCTTGGCTCACTGAAACCTCTGCCTCCCGAGTTCAAGCAATTCTCCTGCCTCAGCCACCTGAGTAGCTGGGATTACAGGTGCCTGTCACCACACCCAGCTAATTTTTGTATTTTTGGTAGAGACAGGTTTTCGCCATGTTGGCCAGGCTGGTCTCGAACTCCTGACCTCAGGTGATCCACCCGCCTTGGCCTCCCAAAGTGTTGGGATTACAAGCGTGAGCTACCGTGCCGGGCCTGTTTTGTCAGTTGATGGGCAACCTTAACTCTATCTGCAACCTTGCCATGAATCTAATATATTCACAGATTCTAAGGATTAGGATGTAGACCACTTTTGGTCGGGG